ATGATTTATACTAAACATGCATAACCCTCCCCATATTCACTATTCACCCCCTAATTGTTTGTTTACAAATTATTACAAACCAGTAGCATCTGAATTACAATATTAAAGAATAGAAAAATAAGAAGCTATGTTATAGGGAGCCTTCAATCAGGCCCAATCTTCCAATTTCAAACCCCTTCGAGCTCACAGCCTTTGCCATGGTCTAGGTGCGGCAAAGCTCCCTAGGACCCCATTAGGTCCCAGGCCAATACCAGCACCTAGACATTTTAGAAGAATGCAGGACAGGTGCAGTGTGGAATACCAGCCTTGTGTGTCAAAGTTCAGTGAGTACTCAGAGGTACTCAATGAAATGCTCACACGAAGGGGGCAGAACCTATTTTCTAAGAATAGTGTGAAGTGCAGGAAGAAGTATTTAAAAGAAGAGTTTTAAGAAAACAAGGGGTTTGTTTAGAAAGAAACAACAGAAACAGTAGCATAAGATTGCATACAATGATCATGGGGAAAGGGAGCAAATAGATCACACAATGCTAAAAGGGATGCAGGTTTAATGAACAGGACTACACAGAATCAGGGGATTCAGGGGACTGGGAAGCAGCAAAGTTAGGCATGCTAATGTGTGACAACGGACATAGGCATAGGAAATAACATTAGGAGTAAACAAAGTCAGACTTAACATGTAAATCAGAAGACATGGTGCAGTGTTAAAGCAAAGAGTCAATCACACATTGAGCAAGAGAAGCATAAGTAGAAGAAAATTACAAAGATAATGAACTGAAACAAAAATAAACACATTGGTGTGAGACTTGAAAAATTAATCAGGACATACCAGTAAAAGAGCAAAAGCAGGATGCAAAGATAAAGGAGTAGCACTATATTAGCCTTGGCTTTCAGCCGGCTAATAATAAACAGGAGCAAAGAATAGTAATAGAGCAAGAGAGCAAGAGAGAATGCAGATTTGAAAGTATTCAGTGGTGTGTAAGTCAGAAGACTGTCGTGTGTTTGTGTAAAAGACTTAGGGTATTTATAGTTGAAAGTAGGGGGTAAAATAAGGTAAAAATCACAGAAATATGTTAATTGAAGAACTCGGAATCAATTAATTGAAGAATCACGGAAGTACTCCCATTAATTAAGGGAATCAAAATCAAACAAAAATATTCAGCACCATATTAGGCAAGTAGGAAAATCAGTGTATGAATAAATAAAGAAAAAATCGAGATTCAGTATTGCACATAGTAGCCAATTAAGACCAAATTCAGGAAAATCCTAATTAAGGAAAGGCTTAAAAGAACAGAGTACTATAACAAACAAGGTAACAAAAATCAATTAATTCAAACGTGCGAGTAGAATGCTAGGGTGTTTTTTTTTTGAAAGAATGTTTTTTTTTTTTTGAATTACCAATCAATCAAGGAAAATCAGAATCAGTCATGTGAAGTCATGATTCTGCATTTTTAACATATAAATAGAGGTGAATGAACAAAAGTAGCGAGCAAAATTAGCTATATAGGCAGAAAGGGAACAAGAGATGAACAAACACAATCACTCAGAGCTAGTGAAAACAAGTTAAGATTCAGCAGGACATATTCGAAGCATGGTGACCATGAAACATTAACAAAGATCAAGGGACATCAGGCTAACACACACAATCAAACGAAGGAGCATGCTAAACACATAGAATCAGAGTAAAGAGAATTGTGCTAACACGCGTAATCACATAGAGACAAGGCCAGTAAAATTAGTCTAACACACATAGTCAAGGCAAAGAGACATGCCAACACCCATAATCAAACGAGTAAACATTTTTAGAAATTAGGGTTTTTAGCAGAGTCAATTAAATAGTAAGAGCATAGAAATAGGTCAGAATAAACAAAGAAAAGATTTAATCATAAAGGAAATCAGTTGAGAGCATGCGTAAAAGGAAATCCAAGAAACCCTAATTTTCAAAGAAAGTAAAAAAAAAATGATTCAAAGTAGAAGCTCTTTCAGAATAAACTCGAGAATAAGCAGAACACAGAAGAAAACATGAGAATGGCATGAGAATAGCACTGTTTTGAGAGATTCAGGAGAGAGTTAGGGTTTCAAAAGGGGAAACCGTAATAAAAGTTGAGAGAACCTGTCGAAACTTCATAGATCGTGACACATAGGGTGTGATTTCGCCTGAACTCACACAGGAGAACCCACGAGTAGCAGGGCCAGGAACCCTAGGTCTCAACCACCATGGTCCATAAACCTCGAAGGTCCTAGAGGTGTTGAACAGGACGGTGAGAGGCCCATCGGAGCCTTGGTGAAAGGGAGGTGGCCGGAGATGGCCGGAAAATAAACCAGGCGGGACTTTTTAGGGACTGATTCACATGGTGGGGGTTTTGGGGTCTCAAAAATAGAGAGAATCAGTGATCTAGGGTTTCATGGCGGTTGATGATCGAATGGGGTGAGATTGGAGGCGGCCGGAGAGCCGGTGGAGTTCATCGGAGAAGAGAGAACCAGAAGGTTCTAGAGAGAAGTGAGAGGGAGAGACGATATAGAGAGAGAGACGGTCTCAAAGAAATGAGGGGTTTGGGGGGAGGGGTAATTGATTTTAATTATGGGAATTAAATCTGGGTCGTTGATCTCAATTGATCAACGGCTCAGATTAAAAAAAAGATTGGACCGGGTTATTTTGGGGATTGGGCTGGGTTAGTTTAAATAGGGTATTGGGCCATTTAAAAATCTGATAGGGGTGTGGCCAATTTGGCTATAATAGAAATAATAAGGGTTGTTTGTTAAATAGCCAATTTCCCTTTTTGTTATTTTATGAAAATAGTAAAAAATGATTTAAAAATAAATTAAAGGTACTGGGCTAATTAATAACATATAAATATTAATGTAAAAATACTAAAAGTGATTTTATAATTATAAAATGCTGTTAATTGTAAAGTAGGCTATAATTGTAATTATATGCAATTTAGTTTAAAAAAAATACCAAATGAATTTGTAAAAATACATAAAAATTACCTTAACTATATTTAGTATAAATATGAGAATAAAAATAAATTACTCATCAAAAATGATAATTTTTTGGGAATAACTATTGATTTTATACTGTTAAAAATGGACAATAAATTAATTTTAAAAACTTTAAAAATTAGGAGAAATGCCAAAAGCTTAGCTATGCTTATATATGCATATATATGCTATTTTGAAAGTAAAATATACAGGAAAAAATTGGGTATCAACACATATTCGACGGTTCTTTTTTTTATGGCTCCATAATAGTGATTCGGTTCTAATGCTTTAATTAAAAAGGAATATAAAGCTCAATTTTTTAATGTGGTGTCATTTATGCTTGAAGAAACGGCATTGAAACATCAAATACGCGCGCAATACAACCCCAAATCTATCAGAAACTCACCCGAGCCCCTAGAAACCCTATCCGAACATACCAATAAGTCCCAACAAATAACATGGACATGCTCGAGACCTCACATCCTACATAACAACATCAAAATCATGAATCGCACCTCAAATCAAGCTTAGTGAACTATTTCAAATTCCAAATTTACGCTGAAGACGTCTAAACAACTCGGAATCACTTCAAATTTTGCACACAAGTTCCAAATGACATAATGAACCTATTCTACATCCCAAAACAACAATTCAAACTCGACAACATTGAAGTCAACTCCCAATCAAACCTATAAGCTTTTCAAACCTTAAAATTGCTAACCTTTGCCAATTAAGGCCAAAACCTTCTAGAAACATCCAAGTGCAAATCCAGGTATATGCCCAAGCCAAAATCACCATCCGGATCTAACGGAACCATCAAAACACCGATCCGAGGTCTCATACAAACAAGTCAAACCTAGTCAACTCTTCCAACTTAAAGTTCTTAAATTGAGAATCATTCTCCAAATCAATCATGAATCACTCGAAACGCAAAACCGACCATACGCACAAGTCATAACGCTTCATATGAAGATACTCAAGACCTCAAACCACCAAACTGAATGCAAATGCTCAAAATGACTGGTCGGGTGGTTACAGTCTAACTCGATATTCGTGGTGGCAAGTGTTATTTTTATTCTTTTAAATATAAGGGCCTTGTCTTTTTTTCATATGTCATATGTTAGAGGTTTCATAAATATTGTGGGGCTAGTTTATATCTTTTGTCATTTTATTAAAGTCTCACATAACATGTACGAAGGACTAATTTTTTAAAAACTCGATGTAAGGTATATCTCATATTCAGACAGTGGTTCCATGTCTTATGGAAAGAAAATGTTTGTGCAATATTCTCATGCCTGTTTTATGCCATCAAGTAATAGAATGTAGGTTTGCTCGATGGTAAGCTTAAGGCATCAAGTGTCTGTCACATTCCTCTAGATTTGAGGCGTGAGAGTAAAAAGCTTACCTTTTATTTATTTTTTGGGGACCATTATGCAAACAATATTATCAACTTGTTCACTACTCTTCTTCATACTTTGATGGAAACTAGATAAGGATTCTCAGCTTGTTCATCATTTCTCCACATACTTTGGAGGAAACTAAATAAGATTCTCAGTTGTATCACTCTTTCCTCTATTCAATTAAAGATATTTTACGTAAATCATGACCTATGATCTTGTCTTTAGTGTAGGTGCATCTTCATTGTCCTTTAAATCTTCATCATCCTCATTTCTACCGGTTTATTTCTTCTAATACGCCACTAGTTTATTTAAATGAGCAGCTTCTTTATATGTAAGATTTTATCTGGGATCATTTACAATGGAATGGACTCTTTATTCATATTTGAGAAAATAGAAATTAAATATATTCACATAAGATTACTTCGATCGCTAGTCAGGTCTCTCGCATGATCGATCATATGTAAGGATTAAAAGATAGCTTTTCACTTAAGAAGAAAAAATCTTTGCTCATTTCGATAAGAATAACATGATCCATCAACGACTAATAGAAAGCTGATGTACGAGTAATAACATATGTCGAGGAATTGTGCATACCATCCAAGTGTAATTCCGCAAGAAAGATGTTTACAAACATCAATGCTTTAACTTTTTCACTTTACGAGCTACGGAGCTATCAGCACTTGATAACGTCATAAGCACATTGTCTTCAGGAAGTCTGAGGCGTTCCTTACAAAAATTACAAAGCTAATCATATTTGTCACGACACAAAATCTTAACTTGGATAATAATAAAGATCAGCAGATGGGCATAATTTTCCCAGTCCCATGTGCATCTAACATTTCTAGCGCCTCACTAGCTCAGCCGATACAACTAGACAAGACAAGAGTTCAGTTTCTGAACATACATGTGTAGTTTAGGAAAAAGACTAGCTCTAAAATAGACTTCTTGAATGATCATTCTCATGATATCTGATTATGTCCTCCTTTGGTTATGAAAAACCCTGTAACTTCTTTCTTGCAATAGATAGTATAATGTTGCAGCCAAAGCAATTCTATGTAATCTAGCCCCTGCAATTCTATCATGAGCATTTAATACAGAACACAACACTGTCTCGGAATATTTATATTGTCTGAAAAGAGAAAATAATAATAAGATATAGGGGGGCTCCATAAACTGCGAATCCAAGCATATCAGCTTACCACGAAGTCTCCAAATCATGTTTCAAGGTGGACACTCGAACTTGCTAATGCTAGGTTCGGTATCTGCAAAAAATACGCAAATGTATAGTATGAGTAAACAAGACAATGCTTACTCATTAAGTATCAAGCTAAATACAACAAAGTAGTGGCAAGGCCTTGACAAAAATGATACTCACTTTCATAACTTGAGCAGTTCATAATCATATTCAACATAGAGAAATAACCAAGAAATAACAAAGATAATTAATGACGTGCACATTCAAGAAGAAAATAGTTAGCTTGCTCTTCAGATAATATGACCAAAAGTATAAATCAATATGCACTGAATCCATTTATAGAGATGATATGCATCAAGTAGCTTTTATACGGATGCTTTTACGTGAGTCTAGAATGTCTATGCATGATAAAGACTCAAACTTTATATCAATTGGCACCCTCCAAGTGTCCAATAAACTGTCATAACCCCCACCTTGAGTCCATGATGCCGCCTAGCCGAACTTGCTAAGCAAGTCAACTCACAATCCACAAATAAAGCCCATTTCTTTTAATTAATATGATATAGCATAAGTAAAGACAGTAATAACCCAAAAACAGTAACAATATCCGATAAAGTCATAACATGGTCTAAACATGGCAATACCATACAACACCCCAAGACTAAGTGGCACAAGTATACGTGCAAACAATGAAAAAGAGAACAAGATTGTATACATCACAAGCTGCCTAAAATATAAGTAGACACGAAATATGCAAGGAACGGGGATTCGGAAACTACGAAGTGGATCGGTGAAGTGCAGCTCACCCTAAGTCTCCATGTAGTCTTCTAGCTAAATCAGGAAGCTCTGCCTGGACCCACCTGAGGATCTGCACAACAAGATGTGCAGAAGCGTAGTATGAGATACCACAATCGATACCCAGTAAGTATCAAGTCTAACCTCGAAGTAGTAGTGGCGCTAGATGCTTCCGAATATTTACCACACAAGTATCATAACATAATTAAAAACTAAAATACCAGATAATATCATGAATAACAAGAATCACAAATATCAACAGTTGAAGTATGAGGCATGCTCTCTAGTACAGAAATAATCATAACACTGCTCAAATATGGTATTAAAAGATAGCATGCTCAAATAACGGAGTCGGAACTCCAAACTAGCATATAAGTACGTCAAGTAGCAATTAGCAGTTAGATGAGTACTACTAAATGAGTCATTATACGAATGCATGTTTTACCGGTACAAGATCTATGTACCCCAATACACAATCCATGTATTAATATAATCCGATACAAAATCTATTGATCAACCTGATACAAAATTCATGTATCGACCATGCTTACAGGGCCAACTTGAGTAATCACCTGGCTCTGGAGCAATGGATCCAAATCTAAGTGCAAGGAGAGGCATAACAGCATCCGTCATAAATCAATATCCGATCATCATCTCCAATATGCTATAGCTGTATCTCATCTGCACACTTACCCTTCGTGCCAAAATCCTCAGTCTAAATAACGTACCCATTATTAAAGATGTATTTATATACTCAAGAATTGTCACACCCCAAACCTGGGGAGGCGTGGCTGGCACCCGGTGTCGTACTGGCTCGAGCGAAACACTCTACAACTCTTTTCTTTTCTATAACTATCATGGGCCAACATGGCCACAACTCGTAATGTATAACTATAAGTGGAAAAACGTTGCATCAATGAACCATCGTTCTTAAAACAAGAATACATACGGGCCGTCAAGGCCTCTGATATACTGTACATAATGAACCTGTCTCTACAAAGACTCTAAGAGTATTTGACAAAAAATTGGATAGGGTACCGGCCTACCCATATGTTTGTAGCAAAACTCTGACACGATGACTCACAGACTAGGCTGCACTCCGAATGAGGTAGAGTCTTACCGATCCTTAATTGAATGCTAACCTCGTCTACGTTGAGGGCTCGTCAAACTGATTATATATACCTGCAGGCATGAATATAGCATCCCCAATAAAAGGACGTCAATACGAATAATGTATTGAGTATTTAGAGCAGCATTGAAAAACCATAAGTCAACATTAATAAAAGACTTTTAAGAATCAACCTGAATCTCTATATATGCATACTTGTTATACTTATATATATAATGCTTCTGTTTGAGACAATATCCATATTGTATGATGCATGAATGCCCAACTTATCAGTGGTAACTGCCCGACTAGCCGTAGCTCGGTGGTAAATGCATAACTGTCCTACCGGTGGTAAATAATGATACATAACTGCCCAATCGGTGGTAATTGCCCGACCGGCCGTAGCCCGGTGGTAAATGCATGACTGCCCGACCGGCTGTAGCACGGTGGTAAATGAAGATGCATGTCTGTCCAACCAGCTGTAGCACGGTGGTAAATGAATATGCATGACTGCCCAACCGGCCGTGACACGGTGGTAAATGCATGAAGATGCATGTAGCACTATATTATAAATATTAACATCTTTATCAAATACCACAATAGAGACTTAGGAACATATTTAGACTTGCTTGAATATCACTTTACATGAATGAATAACATATACTTCCTTAACTGCTAAGAGTAGAACCACTTATGGAATAGCATTATGTTTACGTATCGTTACTTGGATCATGCCAAAAGGAAAGAAGAGATATCCTTAACATACCTTACTTGAGGAATTTATCAAACACTTTTACTTGTGCTTGCCAAGAACAACTTTTGCTCCATTAAATATTTGAACAAGAACTAAGCACTTCTCAGGATCATGGCATATTTCATGTTGCTGGACATATGGAGTATCATGGATGTATGTTTCTGCTATGTTTCTAAAGTAAGAGACTCCTTAATAATAGAAGGAAAAGTTGAAATCTCCTTTCTCTCAAATTGCCAAAGAATAACATGAAAGCTTAAGGCTTGCATTTCACATGTAAGCAAAGCACATCAAGTGCTACGACTCATGTGCATCTTTGGTACCACCCTTGGCCAACTTCATGTCATGTGATATCCCACAAATTCCCCTAAAATGCCACCTAATCTCATAAACCAAAGAGTCACCATTTAGATGATTGAGTCATTTTTACTTGTTTGCCACGTGGGGGTGATGTTCCCACCTAACTTATCCACCAATTTCTTAAATGTGCCATCTTGCTCTATGACTTAAGAGTCATTTATTGGGCTTTCCTTGGCTGCCACGCTGGGAGGCTTATCAAGTCTATCCAAACATTTTAATTACTTACCCATCCCAATACTTTGATGACTAAGCCACCAAAACTCCATAATCTTGCCACCTAGCTCCAAGACTTGCCTAGTCTATATTAAATTCCCTAATTGCTGCCACCCTAATCCTTATAAAGTTGATTAGTCATGAGTACACCTTATCCTCATGATTCCACGTAGATTCATACAAATGACACTTATCCACTTATAACTAATTCCATATTCCATGACTTTATACCAACATTTAACCAATTATTCACGCAATAACTTCTAGGTCTCGATTTACTTAAATACTAATATATTTCATATACCTTACTATCTTGATCATGTGGTATAGCAATAGTCCATAAATACGGGGTATTATAGCTTGGACCGTATTTCATCTCAAAATGTCAAACTTCGATCAACCTCATTTTCTTCAAATCGTTTACCTTCTCGCCTTCACGACTTTACTATCACTTGTTTGGAATATCACAAATACTTATAACCTCAAAAATAGTCTTGTCCTTGAACTTATGTCAATTATATATGATAATTCCAATGTAGAAAATTATGGGATATAACATCTTCGCCCCTTTATAACATTCGTCCTCGAATGTTAACTCTTAGAGATTAACAAAATATTTCACTAGGGTCTCTTCTGTAAACTAAACTAAAACCCAAACTATAACAGAAATCTCGACTATTCACAACCTTTTCTACTTGAATATGCCTTATCTTCTTCACCTTTACCTTACTTACCGTTCAATCTCGCATCCTATCTTCTGTCACTTTCATAACCTCCCTTCTACATAGGTGGAAATTACATCCATGCCTTAAAGCTCTACTATGATGCCTACACCTCTGGTTGATACAAACTCTAGCGGATGCTTCATACTGACTTTTTGCAACTCAGCTCTATGGCACGATATGGAAAAAAAGAAGGGTAACATTTCCTAAATACCCTATAGCCTCTCAATTATAAGTGTGACACGTAACACACCCATAAGTGAGACTCTACTAGGCACGGCTTTGTAGACTCCTTAGGACATGACCTGCTCTGATACCACTTTGTCACGCCCCAAACCTGGGGAGGCGTGGCTGGCACCCGGTGCCGTACTTGCCCGAGCGAACCACTCTGTAACTCTTTTTTTTCTTCCATAATCATGGGCCAACATGTCCACAACTCGTAATGTATAACTATAAGTGGGAAAATGTTGCATCAAAGAATCATCATTCTTAAAACATGAATACATACGGGCCGTCAAGGCCTCTGATATACTGTACATAATGAACCTGTGTCTACAAAGCTTCTAAGAGTGTTTGACATCAAATGGGACAGGGTACCGGCCTACCCATAAGTCTGTAGCAAAACTCTGACACGATGACTCATAGACTCGGCTGCACTCCGAATAAGGTAGAGTCTTACCAATCCTTCACTGAATGTTAACCTCGTCTACTATGAGGGCTCGTCAAACTGATTATCTATACCTGCAGTCATGAATGCAGCGTCCCCAACAAAAGGACGTCAATACGAATAATGTACTGAGTATGTAAGGCAGAACTGAAACATAACCATAAGTCAACATTAATTAAAGTCATTTAAGAATCAACCTGAATCTCTGTATATGCATACTTACTATACGTATATATATAATGCTTCTATTTGAGACTATTATCTATATCGTATGATGCATGACTACCCAACTTATTAGTGGTAACTGCCCGACCGACCGTAGCTCGGTGGTAAATGCATAACTGCCCAACCGGTGGTAAATAATGATACATAACTGCCCAACCGGTGGTAACTGCCCGACCGGCTATAGCACGGTGGTAAATAAAGATGCATGTCTGCCCTAGCACAGTGGTAAATGAATATGCATGACAGCCCAACCGGTCTTAGCATGATAGTAAATGAATATGCATGACTGCCCAACCGGCGGTAGCACGGTGATAAATGCATGAATATGCATGTATCACTATATTATAAATATTAACATCTTTATCAAATACCACAATAGAGACTTAGGGACATACTTAGACATACTTGAATATCACTTTACATGAATGAATAACATAGACATCCTTAACTGCTAAGAGTAGAATCACTTATGGAATAGCATTATGTTTACTATCATTACTTGGATCATGCCAAAAGGAAGGATAGCCTTAACATACCTTATGTTGACACCAATTTTTCCCTCATATTTCTAAAAATATATACATAGTTTCAAAATAGTATATTTGCATCATTATTTAGTTTACAAACCTATACAAGCATTTCCTATAATTTTCCATAGTTTTTAAGCTCAAAATTGATTACTTCTAGATTTCTATTATATAAATATCTAAAATTATCCCTCAAATTATTTTGTGATTACTTAGCTACCTAAAATAATTATTTTTGAATCTATAATATATGTTCAAACATTTTATTTCATTACATATAATTACATTAGCATTTTTAAAGTTATTTGCACAATTTTACAATAATAGCCTATACTCATATAGAAATGCTCTTAGTTATGTCAAAATAGCATTTTACATTTTTATAATATTAAGTTATCATTTTTAAGCATTTCAGCGTACAAATAATATTTTTACTTATTTATCAAGAATTTTTATAAACTATTTTCGTGTATTTAAATAATAGCCTA